CATAAGGGCACTGAAAAAAAACACAACTCATTCTTTTCTTTCTTTTTTTTTTTTCATTTTTGTTCGACTCGACCTTTATTTATTTATTTGTCCTTGTGTTAGGAAGATGGGATGAAGAAAATCAAATCTTACGTCTCACCAAATCTTTAATTTTTTAAAACTTGGCCAATGTGTCTATTAAATAAAGTAACCAGAAAACATTTAGCCAAGCGTGCAACTAATAAATTATCAATTGAAGTGAATATACCTTGACTAATGCATTTTCTTGTTATCTTTTTTGTGCCATAACGTTTGTATAATTGGAGTAAAAAGTAGCAAAGAGTGATGCCACACAATGGCATACATGAAATTACATTACAAAAATAAAAAAAAAAAAAAAAAAAAAGAAGAAGAAGAAGAAGAAGAAGAGGGCATGGCACGGCACGCCATGGCGTAAGACTCGAAAGCACAAATTTTAATGAGATAAGTGGAAACAAGGCATTGCAGTTAGACATGACAACGGACCGAATCAGCCCGTGGTCAACAAGCCTTGAACTGAACCCGTGGTTTGATCGGACCACTTCTGGGCTACATATGAACTTCTTCTTCTGAATCTTCGTAACCAGCAGTGCGACAATTTTTTACTTTTTATTATTTTTTTAAATTTTTTAGTTTTCTAAATGAATCGGATCGGCGTGGAACTGATTGTTCACCGAACCGGCGGTTTCCGGCCTGGAACCGCCTATTCAAGGTCATCTAACCCTTTGCCCGGGAACTGGTTTTGGCCATGTCTGATTGGAGTATAGTAAACAACGCAAGTTTTAGTATAAGAGTGACATAGCTTTCAAGTCCTTCATACTTTTTTGGGCAAAATTTAATTTTTGGTCCATTGTATAAGCCTTTTTTCCAGAAATGGTCCACTAATTTGGCGGACATCAAAATTGATACAATAAGTTGTAAAATTTATTATTTTTGTCCATAAGCCTACGTGGCGTTTTATCGGGCGAATACGTGGACAAGTTTGATGTCCGCCACGTAGGCTCGTTATCCAGCCCGAGTGATTAATGGACCAAAAATGATGAATTTTACAACTTATTGTATCAAGTTTGATGTCCGCCAAATTAGTGGACCATTTCTAGAAAAAATACCAATATAATGGACCAAAAATAAAATTTTACCTATTTTTTTAATAATCATTCACATGAATGTTACAAAATGTCATACTTTTGTTTACGTTGTTTTTTATAGTATGACATTTCAATAGGAAAATATGCAAATCTATTTAAAAAAAAAAAAGTATGACTGCTCAGGGGCATAGATAGGGCTAGGCTCACTCGAGCTCTAGCACAGTCTTAATTTTTTGTCTTATTTAAATATGTAATAGTAAAAAAGTATTTTGGTCCATGTTTTATCAATTTCAATTCATGATAAAATTATTTAGTTCATATTAATTTAAAATTATTTTATTTTAAACCAACAGATTATATATACTTTTGGACATGACTCAAACTTTTTATATGTATTTTTTTGTGGTTATAGCTTACTTTGTCATTTTTTCTTCTTTGTTTTCACTTTTTAATGTTTGGTTTAAGACATCATTAATTTATATTATTTATATTACTTTATATGTGAATTATTAATTAAATGTTAACTTTTAAATAAATGATATTTTAAAAATGTGAAATATATAATTTAATTTCATTAATTTGCGTAGCATATTCAATGAAACAACATTTGAAATTTCACAATTTAAGTGAAATATCATCAATAACAAGTGTGTTGTGTTAATCTGCCTATATAATAAAATGACATTTGAACTTCCACAATTTAAATGAAATATCATATAACAAGTACGATGGATTGACGTGCCTAATAAAACATTCATCTCATAATTGTATTTGAAATGAGTTATATTATTGTTATAAGTCAAATTTAAGTAAGCAAGAATAAAATTGCGTGCCAATACTCCTTTTTGAATAAAAAATTACTATATCAACAAAAAATAAATCTACAAGTTTATGTTAAATGCGATTGACCTCCGTATAAAACTATAAATACACCTAAAAAAATAAGGTGATTTTTTAATTTACTAAAACATGACATATTTTTAATAAGTTGTTTTTCGTTCGTTTTGTAATTTACATTATATTTAACAAAATATCATACTCTGAATTTTTATACATAACAGTAGTGATATTATTGAAACCAAATTCAGTCGAATACGTCGTGTTCGAACTTGTGCTTCTTTAATAAATGGAAATGTTTGGGTCGGATAATTTAATAAATCGAGTGTGATCAACTAAGTTCCGCTCGTTTGAATTAAATTTCTATTTTATGTTTTATTATATGAATGGGTCGAGATTAACTTCTTACAAGCTAAACAAGAGTTGTACTCCCTAAGGACTCGGTTCTGGCAGCCCAGGTATAAAATATTTCTGGCTACGCCCCTGTGACTGTTAATCATTGGTCAGCAATAGCCCTACTCAAGTAATATTTACTTCGACTAGAAGAAATTTTGAAGCAATCAGCAAGCCTAATAGTTAATGGAACTCAGAACAAAAGATTAGTCTTTGAATATGCAGTTAAATTCCACTAAAACTCCAAGCTCCAACTCCAATTATCGTGCGAAAACACTAAAAAATGCTAGTGATGCTTTATTGAACTAAAAACAAGAAGAGAAAAGCAAGGAAATGACAGGCGCCTTATTAAAGCCTATGGATTAGTCTATCAAGAAACTAGATTTCGTCACTTGGTCAAACAAACTTTCAACAAACTTTAACAAAGATGATCAAAAAAATTTTGTGGGGATAATTTCTTTAAAGTTTTGAAAGCATTATGAAAGCAACGATACCTTATTTGCTCTAATAAGTCTTTATAATAACTGAAATAATTACATGCATGTATCGATGTCATATGTAAAGCGGAAAAAAAAAAAAAAAATCGAGCAATAATTATCAGAATTGCGTAACCCAAATGACAGAAAGAAATGCATGTAATGGCGAAAGAGACAACACGGGTGTGATAGTAGTAAACTGCTGATCAGAAACCAAAAGAGAGAAGAAAAAAAATCTGTGATTGAAAATGGAAAGGGGAAAATGGTAAGTTTCAGAAGGGAGTTTAAACTTTAAAGCAAAGTATAGTGGACAAAAATGGTGGCGTGATGTACGTATTCAACGACATTAATCATCGTCAATATCTCCATCACTTGTTACGATATTGGTAAAAAGTAAAAACTTCATTTCATTAAGGGGGGAAAAGAAGAGAAGAAAATGAAGAGCTGCAGAAAGTAAAAAACCAGGAATAACACTCAATAGGGACATGAAAAGAAAGAGGAGTCAAATTCTGTTCAATGATCATCTTGACTAAATAAGACCACTCAAATATGACCCAACATGTAAGCATTTACCTCCATAAGAGATTTTCTTCGTTGATGCATTAAGATTTCCTTTTTTCCTAGTGGGAGAATGCATTTCCAAGTACAGCCATATACTCGGCACGTTCCCAGCCCCACCACCATCAACATCAAGATTTTCCCAATATCTGCGTGAAAACGGGTAAAGATAATCTTGGTTAAAAACAAACCTCATCTTCGTAAAAAAATAAAAAATAAAAAATGTCAGCAGCACACTAAACTGATTAACAAATGAAAGTACAACAGCTCCAGTAAACACTGACCTGTTGGGGCATTAGACATTAGGAAGTGAGTTTCTGCTGCAATGATTCTACACAGGGGCAGCAGCACAAAAATTACCAATCATTGACCGTCGTGCATAATCGTGTATTTTTGTTTTCATCAGCTTTAGTGCTTTCAGTGCATATATAATTCACCAACCTGCAAAACCAGCCTTGCTTTATAACCACAGGATGCATTATTATTACATGTTTCATTAGTATTATCTTTCATTGGATGCTTTAGGCAATTCTAACCAGACAACAGTCGTGTACCTTGTTAATGATAAGGAGAACTTGTGCATCAAAGCACTTTTAAAATGCATACTTGTGGCTCCATGGAACTAAATACCAAATTCAATCTCAATCAATCCAGATATATATATATATATATATATATGTATATGTATATATGATTAGGTTAGCTGCTAAACACACTACACTATACCACTTATCCTATTTATACCTAATGATGTGCTCTTTTCAGTCTACCAGAAATGATTGCTTAAGTTAAAAAAATAGAACTCCAGAACACACTAATGCTTCAACAATATCCTAGGCAGGGCTCCAACTTATATTGAGACATGGTCAAGAGTCCACATATCTAGTTTATTCAAAAATAGTTATGGATTCACAAAAAGGTGGTTCTTGAGTCACTAATTTCTTCTTGCAAATTTCCACTTTGAGAAAAGGGATTGCCATTTCCCAATTCCCAACCTGATTTCCCAGCCAATCATCGACGTCACCCAGACTGGCTAAGTCCTAATACAGTAGAAAACAATTCAACTTGGCTGACAATCAACACCATTATTTCAAATTGACTTATACACCCATTTTCCTCCTGGGCTGAACATCAATAACTCTCTCTCTCTCTCTCCTCTCTCTCTCATGATGTAAGCACCTTTTTTTTTTTTGTCTTTTCCCATTTAGTAAGATTATCCAGTACTCAACTAGTATACCAACATTATTGTATGGATTCCCTAGATCATGGTCCATGACACTTATGTTAAGAGATGCAACCACCTTATACTATTAACTGACCCTTAAATGCATATACACATAAACATACACATACACACCATGTTTGTTAAGTGCACATCCCATATGCTACATAAGCACATACATATATTTGGTAACACAGTCTTCCCATCTCATCTTTAAGGAATTCCACTGTACTCCTAATACCACAACATGGGCCCACACTCACCACAGCACCTTTTCTTCTCCCCTATAAATTCACTAATTCTCCCTTTGCCTTTCAACTACCAGCTAATTCCCATCCACATATCTCCATAAACTCATTCCCATAATCTTTATCTCTGTAAATTTCCATCATTAGATACTACAAAACAATGCAGCCCAGTGAGATTAGTGAGCTCTCTTATCTATTCCCTTCCAACCCAAATCAATACCTCCCTGTAAATTTCAGCTTGAGCAATAACAACATACCAGCATATCAATTTAGTAGGCTTTTAAACCCTCTGTACCACTTCAACAACAACACCCAGTTCCAAGAACTAAGCACCCAACAGCAGACAAGCCTCAGCAGTAACTCGACTTCAGATGAAGCGGACGAGCAGCAGCTGAGCATAATAAATGAGAGGAGGCAGAGGAGGATGATCTCCAACAGGGAATCTGCCCGTAGGTCCCGCATGCGCAAGCAGAAGCACTTGGACGAGCTATGGTCCCAGGTCGTGTGGCTTCGAAACGAGAATCACCTGCTCATGGACAAGCTGAACCACATGTCTGAAAATCACGACCGGGAGGTCAAGGAGAATGCCCGGCTAAAAGAGGAAAATCACGAGCTTCGGGAGATGATCGCTAACATGCAGCTCAACAGTCCGTACCCCGGTTTAGGGGAGCTTGAGGACGACCCCTGCAGTGACTTGGCCTAAATAGTATAAGTACTCAGGCTGATTCCCTTCGAGTTCTCCTTATTTGTGCTGAGACTTAAAAAAAAAAAAAAAAAAAAAGTCATATATTGTCTTCTCTTGAAGATTTCAATCTGTTTCTTTATCTCTCAGTGCAATAAAATCTAGTTTAAATGAATCAATGATGTTGCCGTTCAACAGTAACTTCTTTTAGGGGTAAATCCCCTCCCATGAGTATCATTGCTAATTTACACAAAATTCATGGCAAAAATTAATAAATCTAAACTAGGAACTGGCTTATGAAGAGATATTTGAAGGTTAATGCTGATGATGAATGTCAATGAACTAGAGTGCACTGCAAAAGCAACTAAAACCAGAGGTAGGTGAAAAATCCTTGCATGTAGTACGTCAAAAGAAGAGACGCGTTTTGATAATTTTCAACATGTTACATTTCCAGGCAAACCATGTGTGAACCAAAAGCAACTGTCTAGGTTAAACAAACAGAAGAACCAAAGAGCAACACATTAGGCACAAAGCTTACTATACTGACCTAACTTTCATTTTGAGTGTGCTGTGGCTAGTTTTGGCTAAACAATATGTCCTCCTCTGACATTAGAGGGACCGCTGCAGTAGTTTGGGTTGGCAATTTAGGGAACACAATGTTTCGAATGGTCTCGTGTTCACCATTTTCTCACTTCAAATTTGTTCTTTTCAAATGGAAATTCGCCGTTTCCTTCATCTTCGTAACCTGCAATTCGACATAATACCAAAACAGAAAATGAAAACTGTAACTCCTAGCCATTGCTAAAACAGATTTTCAGCTAATTCTGCAGAAAAAAAAACAATCAAACACAGGAATACAATTGATTCGATCGGTCGCAGCTCATTAACAGTTAATTGACACTTACTCATAACCGATTTAGCTTCTCGGAGAAGCATCATTACACGATCACATATTCTCTAAACTTCATTCGAGAAAACGAACAACAATCTACAACTGGAATCAATTTCTAGCTGCGTACTTTACCTTGAGCAGAACATATACACTATGAAACAAGAAAATCCTACAAGCAGGCACTAAAAGCTACCATTAACGGCACGAAAAAATGTGGAAGAACAATACATACCATGATAACGCCATTCAATTTCAACTGAGAAACAGAAAATCAGAAGGTTTGCATAAATTTTACCAGGATTTCGCGTTCGATCGGTAGCGCTCATCATCTTTGTAAGTTCTCGTGCGAACGAATTTTGGCGCTTGAATGGTGAGCTCAAATAATCGAATCCCGCGGCTTGAATTTCGTTTTCGCGGTAAGTACGAATCGCCATCTCTCATAGGCAGTTCTATTTTTAATTATTTTATTTTTTACCTTGTGATCTTTGGCTAAATAGCAGTTTCAGCACTCAAGTATCTATATTGTATTTTTCTACCCGCAGACTTACGCTAATTGACATTTTGCCCATGAGTAAATATGAGCCTAACCTAATTAATTACCTATAAGACCAAAAGTCTCTTGAAAATTGGGACGAAACGCACGATAACATGATTAGAGTTATAGTGAGGTTTTATCTCAAAATCAATTGGTAGTAGGAAGATTAGCACAAGACTTATAAGTCAGGTCTATTTTTTTTTTTTTTTGGTACATGTCAGGTCTATTTTCTCTTTATATATAAACGATATGGGACAACCCATAAGTGTTATTATGACCCTCACTTGTGAGTCCTCAATACGAAGCCCAAGCTCAAGTGGGCTTGGGCTAGGTAACGGGTACGTCATCACCAAAAACCACGTGGGCCGGTTTTTTGATACCATGCAAGAATCAAGGATAAAACGGGTGCAGTCCCACGCACGTGAAGCGCACCATAACAGGGTTAACCTAGATGAGTCATAGTGATATTTCATCCCAAAAATCAATTGACAGTGGGAGGATTAACCCACGAGACTTATAAGTTGGTATCAGAGTCGGTTTTACGTGGGATCGTGCGATGACGTGACCGTCACCCAGCCCAGTTGGGCTTAGGCCTTGTTTGAAGGAGCTCGGTTGGGCTTGGTTGTATGTATGACTCACAAGTGAGAGGGCGTATCATAATATAATACCACTTGTGAGTTGTCTGACATCGTTTATACAGGGAAAATAATCTCCTTCTACCACCAGTTAGATTTGAGATGAAACTTCACTGTGGTGGATCTAGGCTCTTCCTCGTATAGTGCGCTTCACGTACATGAGACCACACCCGTTTGCCCCTCTTTCTTACATAATTGACTAGCTTATAGTTTCATATATTTAAATAAACTTGGTTTGTAGGAGTCAATTGCCCTCATTTCTTACATATTTGATTAGCTAAGGGCTTGATTGTATATGACTTAATTTACTCATTTTTATTTCAACTCAAAATCTAACTCAATTTTAACTCGCTCGCCCAAACAAACTTTTCGAAGCGCAGTGAACAAACTTTTCGAAGCAGCAAGAAAACGGATGCGCGTTAGCGCAACGGCTTTCGCGCTAGTTGCTCAATCCCCCTCACTATCTTTAGTATTATTCATATAATCAAATAATACAAACCAATCATACTTACACATCACATCAACTTTAATTCACTATTCATCCACTCACATAAGTTTAACTACCAATTACTTCCAATCATTTCTAATCATTTACTTCTTACTTTTACATCAGATCAATTCTAATAATTTTACTTTTAAATATCATTTTAATACATTCTTAAAATTCCACTAACAACTAATCATACACTTTTTTCAAAATTAACTATGATTGACCAAAATAACTCATTTTGAACAAATTATTTCATAAACAATGAAGCCCTTATAGTTTCATGTATTTAAATACACTTGGTTTGGTAAGAGGAGGAGTTTTTTTAAAATGATCGAGCTTATCTCATAACCTTTCTTGAATATCTCTTTAAATAAGCTCATTGAAATTTTAATTTGAACTAGTTTATCAGTTAATTTTACCAAACTTAGAGCATCTCCAATGCTCTAATGTTATTGTAGAACAAATTTTGCCAAATGTCAACAAATTAAATAGATTGTGCACCATGTAAGAAAAATGTTAAGTCTACAACTATGAAATTAAAAAATTCTCTCCAATGCACAATATAGTCTACCTACAATATTATATACTTACCATGTATTAAAAATTTTAAAAATATAAAATAAAATTAATTAAATAATTAGATATCTTAGAATTGGTAAGAACATTTCTCTCTCTTTTCTTCATTGGTTAGCTAGAGTGTAGAGGTGAATGTGGATGGACCACATTCTCTTCTACATTGTAGACATTAATAATATCCACATCATCACAACATTTGTGATTACATTCTACATTGAAGATGAAAAAATGGTGAATTTATTAAATGTGTTGATGTGGAATGCAATTTACCACAACAACATTGGACCATTGGAGATGCTCTTACAATAAGTGATAAGATATCAGCTATAAGTTCGAAATTCGCTTAAAACTATTAGTCAACTTATCAAATATAAACTAACTTATTTACTAAATTTACCAAACACAACCTCGGTTTGTTTTGTAATGAGCAATGGTGTTTTTGTTACCATTGTCAAGGTCCATAAATCATGGTTTTGCGGCCTGTACTTTGTTGCTATTCACACACGGGTTGACTTTTGCTCAAATGTATATTAGAAACTGAAGAATGGGTCATGCTTTATGGGCCGAATAGTGAAGTCCATGCAAAATGTTAGGTATTGTTTATTATATTTAAATTGAAGATTGTCATCACATTTTTTGGTCACACTCACAACTTAGTGACTCACATATATGGGTTGGTGACCAATCAATATCATAGACAGATAGACCGAACATGACCAAGTGTGTGTTTCTATATATTTTTTTCAATAGAAATATATATTTGGTTAGAAAAATACAATGTTGTTATAAAACCAACTGGTTGGTTCTCTTATGGAACCAACACCCAATTAGACAGCTCCATGTGGGGTTGTCCCATATGGAGCAAAATCATGGGGTGTTGGTTTCATAAGGGAACCAACAAGTTAGTTTTATAGCAACATTGTAGAAAAACATTAGAAATTATTACGTTTAACAAACAAGCGAGGCCAAGTCAGAAAAAAGTCTCATAGATCAAAGCTTGAGTATACTATTGTGTGCTCGACTGAGCTCGACGAAGTATACAAATTACTCAAGATCAGACAGAATTTTGCAGGAGTTCGAGTCGAATTCTTAATAGAAAAATCTATTTAAAGATTTTTTTTTTTAATTTTCACTCCGGATCAATTTGAGTCTAACTTGAATTCAATTCGATTTTGGAATGTTTGGATAAATTATACTTATACTAGTACAATACTCGTGTACTACACGAATAGTTATTAAAAAAATTATATTTAAAATAAATAATAATAACAAAAAAAATTGTTTTAGTTTTTAAATATCTTTTGAAAAAATATATTATTATTTATATTTAAAATGGCATCGTCACTTACACGACTTATAATATTTGTTTTTAATATTTATGTCAGATAACTACTTTGTAGTTGAATTAATTTAAATAATTTTATTTTTCTGAACTAATATTGATGGGTATTTAATTTAATTACAAAATAAAGTTATTTTTTTTTATTTTGTATGTATATTATAGATGGCAAATATAAGCTCATCAAGACATGATTAATTTAATATATTATATATAAAAATTTGTTAATAAATAAAATATTATTAACTTTTAAATAAATTTATAATTTAAGTTAGTAAACTTGTTATAATTTTAAGAGAAAGATTGTGAAAAAAAATATCTTTTAAATTATGTATGCAATAGGAAATAATATTAAAACATAATTAATGTTCTTAAATGATACCATAAATATCCAGTATACTTATAAACTAGTGTGTATCCCGTGCGATGCACGGGTAAACAATATTAAATATTTATTACAAATAAGTATCGAGTTCGAGTCACCCAATGCAGAGCAAGAAAAAATAAAGATGAGGGTAAACGATATTAAATATTAATTATAAGTTAACGATGTAGGGTTAACATGTCATATAATTTATGGTATATCGTTTTATTATAAACGATATAAAATTAGCTTGTTCAAGAGAACATAAAATTTGTATGTTTAAACAATTAAAATCTCCTAACATAGTAGCTTTATTTTATATTAAATGAAGACCAAGACGATTTAAAAAAAAAAAAA